GCATCTTCGCCCACCGCAGAGCGGCCACTGTGCCGGAGCAACCCCCCAGCCCCACGGAAGGGCCAACCCGGCCCCGCTGTCCCCCTCCCCGGCGCGAGGAAGGAGTTAACATCCATTTACCAGGAGAAAGCAAGCGACAGTCAAAGCTGGCCTGGCAGAGGCAGAATTAGCCAGCACTGGGTTGATTTAATGGTTTGGCTGGGGCTGTGACACACAGGACCAGAGGTTTCCAAACAACAACTAACGAAGAGGGACTCAAACGGGCTCTGCCTCCACCCGGACACACGGCTCCCATCCGTCTGCCGCCATGGGAAAGAGCCAAGCGTCCGCTTTAAGCAGAGCTGCAGCGCAGCCACCCCCGGGGCTTCGCCTCTGGGCTCCTTCCCCAGAGCAGGGCAGGCACAGGAGCTCTCCCGCTCCATCCCCTGCTCCCGCGGCACCCGGAGCGCCGGGACACGCCGGCACAGCCAGGGCTCCCAGCGCAGCCCCGTCCCGCAGCCAGGACGGAACCTGCTGCCACCGCTGCTCTCAGCCAGCCTGGTCCCCACCAGGCTTGCAGGGTGGCACCAACCTTTCCAGTTCCTGAAATTAAAAACATCATCTGCGAATAAAAAAAAATAAATACCTTTAGAGCATGAAGAAGTTTTGGGACAGAGCTGCTCCCACTCACCGAGGTAGCACCGAAATCGCTCAAACTCAGGGCTGGCAGGGGCGGCACCAGCGCCGAGAGGTTTTTATTCCTCCATCAGAGAGGGGAATCGCCCTCTCCTAATGCAAAACTCCGCTCTTCTCTTCCTTTAACAAACCCTTAGGGTTTTCCCTCAAGTTTCACCCCTCCCAGTGCTTTACCAGACCAGCACCCCCAAACACAGCTGGCAGATTCAGGCAAACAGAACAGCCCCTTCTCTTCCCTGTGGTTAATAACCCCCCCAACACCCCAACCCAGGCACCCCTCAAACGCCCAGGGTGCAGCCCGGGAGCATCCCAATGCGCCCCCGGCGAGGCGCTGCAGCACCTTTGCACACATGTGCATTTGTATTGAAATAAAGGCAAAAAGCGTGTTCCTGCCCCGACCTAGCCCCGCTTCGCGAGCCCGGCTGTCGCAACCAGACACAGAAACACAACAACCAGGACCCCCCTGTAAAAAAAAAAAAAAAAAAAAAGAAGAAAATATTTATTAGCTCGTGAAAGCAACCTGTCATCGCTGCTGCTGCCAGATCAAGTTTGTAGAAACCCCAACCACTTTAAGCACCCGACTCCTTCCAGCCGGAGACAGTGAGAACGTCGCTGCGGCCGCTCGGCGCACGCGCGCCCCGGGACAGGGCAGCTGGGGGATGTGCAGCGAGTCGAGTGGTCGAAGGAGTGCTGGGGGGGTCGAGCACCCCCTGACAGAACGGCTGCTCAAACCCAGCGGGGAGGAAACGGCAGCGCCCGGCTCCCGCGGGCTGCGGCACCCGGCGAGGTGCTGGGGACGGGCATGGGCCTGATCCTGCACCGGGGTCGGTAAGCACGAGCCCCCCCTGCCCTGAGCGCTGCCGTTCAGCTCACCCCTCCGCACGTTCGGCAGCCCA